GGCTGTGCAGCATCCGTTGCCACGGTGATGTAGCAGGTTAAAGAGAGCCGCTAACGTCAGACTTCAGACTGAACACACGTCTCTAACACATGAGTCCTGCTCCATATGACCTTCATGTTCGGCTTAACGTGTTTCTGACCCGGTTTCGTCCACAGTGCCTCCGGGCCATGCTGAAGCTGATGTCCGAGTGCTGGGCCCAGAACCCGGCGTCCCGCCTCACCATCCTCAGAGTCAAGAAGACGCTGGCCAAGATGGTGGAGTCCCAGGACATCAAGATCTGACCGCCCACCTCCTCCTCCTCCTCCTCCTCCTCCTCCTCTGAGAACCACCTCCTCCACCGCCAGATTCACCCGACACACCGGCCTGGACTAGACCGGACCGGACCGGGCTCCTCCCTTCACCAGGAGGAGGAAGAGGAGGAGCAGCTGGGAGATGAATCAGAACGGACCGCCTGAGGGCTGAACTGCCTCCTCCTCCTCCTTCCTCCTCCTCCGGCCTGGAAACAAACCCGGAGTCCTTCCTCCTCCTCCTCCTGGTTCTGCTGAGCGCTGCAGCCGGGTTTGACGCTTTCTGTGAAAGCCAAACGAGACGATGAACTCGACGATGACTTCCTGCGGAGGGCGAGGAGGAGGCCTCGCGCCGCCACGTTTTCAGAACGCCACCATGTTTGTTTTGTTTCCTCTTCAGGACTTCGTTCTCCTGCCATATTGAATATTATCTCCACTCTTCACTAGAGTTAATTATACAGAAACAGTACGGTACTATTATAATATGTGAATTTTAATGTGTAAATAAACGTTGCCGTTAGATGCCGTGCCTACTCATGAGAAGGTGTAAGAACCAGAACACTATGCTGCAGTGGTGTCGGCGTCCGGCCCGCTCCTCGGAGGCGCCGACGGGAGGCGGGGGAGTCGGAGACGTCTGCCGTCCTGTTTGTCTGTCTGTCCACTTCCTGCTTCTGTCTGTCTGTCTGTCCGCGAGGAGACCTGCAAAGAGCTGCTGCTGCTGCGGCGGCGCCAAATCTCATTGGTGGAGGTAAACAGCAGTGGGCGGAGCTAAACACTAAATATCAGGATGCAGAGAGTCCAACTGAATCACCGCTAACCCCCAGAAACAGGTCAGATAGACACATCATAGTAATAATAATCCTTTGTGTGATTTTTGAAGCAGACATCGTGAAGTTCTTCCAGATATTCAGACGCTACAGTTTGAGAATTTTGCTTTTTGCCCTTAAACAACAAATGCTCTCAGATGAATCGATGATGACATGAATCGTTGGTTGCAGCCCTGTTGGTCGGAATAGTCAGTAAGTTTTTAAAAGAATAGTTCTACTGGACTTTAACACTTATAAACGTCTCCTATGAAGCCATGTAGAACTCCTGGTTCATCAGATTAATGGAAGCAGGAAGTTGACGGATGGCTGAAGCAATTAAAATGTGCTTTTAGAGTTGCAGCTTTTACAATTATTAGAATAAATTTTATCTTAATTTGATGGTTTTAATTGTAGATTTTAAGTAAACTGTGCTTCTAAACAACTAATAAAAAAAAAGTCCAGTTACTACAATTAAACTACGAGAATAACCGTGACCAGGATCACTGAGCATCTAAACACTCACAGGCAGCAGCTGTTTTACCAGATCGTGAACACTAACAAGACGTTAGCTCATGTTAGCTCACAGATTATCTCGTCACATGAGGTGGTGTTTGCTGCCTCATCATCCTGGATTAAAAGATACTGGTAAATTAGGTAGTTAGCTTCTGAAACGAGTACTTCTCCGACACCTGGCACGCTACAAAAACCTTTAGCTAGCATTTTAGCTCGACACAGCGATCTTTGGTGTTGTTCTTTTGACAAGAGCACTTTAAAAATGTTTGTAAATTTCATGTTTCTGGAAATGGAATTGAAATAAATGTAAAAGGGTCCCTCTCAACAATTACAAGCTAATTTGAGCTAGCTAGCTAGCTTACATTCCTCATTGTTGGCCTGTCCATAAATACAAACTAGCAATGTGTTGTCCTTTGACTCCTCCCACTGAGGTTTAACTCGTCCAATCAGATCATTCTGTTGGTAAATATCAAACAGCGGTTACATTTGATCATCCTTCATTTATTCCAGAAGAAGAGTCTGCATTGAGAACCCCGAACTGTCAGCTGGAAGTCTTAAATACTGTGTGTTATACATGTTGGGGGCGGGGCAGCATGTGAGTGGGTGGGGCTATGTTGGAGGCTCCGCCCACTACCTAAACTATATAAATCAACTTCGCAATTTCTGAGATGCTGACAGCTACAAGCAGTATAAATAAAATAATAAAAATGTTGTAAACAATCATCATCTCAACAACTTTTGGTGAGCTAGCTTATATTCTTAGCTAGCTTAGCCAGCATTAGTTAGTATTTTATGTGTTTTCAATAAAAACATTTGCTAATTTGTGAAAAATGTTTAAAATAATCTTCATCTAAGTGGCTTAAAACTTTACCAAACACCACCTGTCACCACCAGCATCTCAGAATCTAAAGTTTTTTGTTTCTGTCTCGGGGTATCTTGACGCGTAGCTTCGCTCCGACTTCCAGCTGGCAGCGAGCGGCGCTTTGACTCAACAGCACTACAGTAAACAGAAGTTCTTTTTAAGTTTATTTTGGGTGTATTTACTTCCTCTTTAAGAATATTTGGGAAACTGGCTCTGGGGGTGTTTAGCCTAGCTTAGCACAAAGACTGGAAGCGGGTAGAAACTGCTAGCCGAGGTCGCTATAAGGACAGAAATGCACCTTGTGATGACTCAGAATGTGTCAGATTTGTTTTATCTGGTTCATTGTGGTTTCAGCAGGTTTGTTTCTGTGGATGTAACGAGGCTAACGGTTTCCCCCTGCTCCCAGTCTTTGTGCTAAGCTAGGCTAACCTACCCCGGGCCTCTAACATGTTCCTTGAACTCGTCGGCGGCAGGACGACGTGCTCGCGTCGGCTCGGTGTGCATGTTCACTGTGTGTGTGGATGACGCTAACGTTCACGCAGTAGCTATTTAAGAGCAGTAACTTTAGTGTTTTTCTGTGTAATAAAAGCCCAGTATAGGAATAATCTCCAATATGTAAATCCTAAATGTGTTTCTTTGTTGTTGTTGTTGTTTTTGTTTTGGTGTTGTTGTTGTTTTGTACAGCATCTGGTTTGGTGCCTTATGAGTTTACCAAGGAAAGGAAAAACTCTGTATACAGTCTGTCCAGTGTACCGATTTTTAAGTAAATAACCTTATTTTAGTACACAAACCCACAGCCTCCACCTGTTTGTTTGTTTGTTTACTCCGTCATGTTTTCATGTAGGGAAGCTTATTGCTGCCAAGAAAACAAAACTTTAAATGCAGATTAGTCATGATTGATTTCAGGGACTTTTTTATTTTATTTTTTAGCTGTTGAAGCACTTTGGTGTGAATTTAAATCAGATTTAAGTGTTGACGTTTGGTCGCCTTGTTGTGTCGATTATTATTCTGTTTGCTCGTTATTTTGTTTTTAAAACTGCAAGACAGAAACAAGAAATAGTTCATCAATGCAAAAAGAAAAAAATATATATTTATATTTTTATTTTTACATTTCTAATCACTACTAGTATTATACTTTTTATTTTTATTTATTTTTGTAACATTTAAGTTGGATCAAATCACACTGAAGTGATATTTGTTGAACAATTTGCTTACTTTAAGGTTTCTGGCTGAAAAAAAGTCAGAATTGTGCCCAAGAATCCCAAAACTTTGATTTAAATTTTTACTTGAACAATTATCTTCATTAATAATTTTCCTTGATTTAGATGTTTTGGAGGGGTTAAAGGTTTTTAACTTTTTTTTAAAAACCTAATTAAACATAATTTTGATTCAATGTTTAGTCAAAATATTCGGTTATATTTTAAATTGGATCAATATTTTATCAAATGTTGATGAGGTAAGTCTAAATATAAACGATATGTGTTTAAATTTGAACATGTACAATAATTAATGTCAGTTTTAGGTCCGTTCTATTTTCATTTTTTGTATTTTTACTTTTATTTTATTACTGTCAGACATGAGCCTCCATATTATCCAGATGCAGCACGTTGACCATGTTGAATTCTGCAGGTTTTTCCAGATGTTCGCTCTGCAGCTGCTGCCTGTGAACGAGGCGCCGCCTGCTGGACAAACAGCGACACTGCAGCCGATGAACCGAAAGCAGGTGGGAGAGTCTGAGAGCGAAGTTTAGAGGTTTTCAGTCAACGGGACGAGACGTTTAGTTCAACTGTTGTTTAATTTTGCTACCAAAAAAAATCTACTTCAGTAAATATGATCAAATATTTAACTTTTTCACCACCAGAATGAAATCAGTCCCGTGTGACGGTGGGTCAGGAGGGACTGAAGTCCTCAAACAGAAATAGTTTATTAACAATAGAGCAGCTTTTCTGCCTGACAGATTAAACAAGTTGATCAATTAACGGGTTCAGTTTAAGAGAATCTGACGAATCAAAGGACCAGAAACCTGAACTGTGGTCAGGAAGTTAAACTTATTACATGATTTTGATTATTTCTAACAACAGACATCAGATTTTATTTCCAGCTACGGATCTGAGCTGCAGTGACGGAGAAAAAAAACGTTTAAAAGATGCAGTTAAAAGGCAGCCGTGGACGTTTAATGAGACGAACTACCAGCTGGTCTTTACTGGCTTCCACTGGGCTGCAGCGACCTGTTGACACGTTTGAATCTCTCAAAACCACAAAACCTGAGTTCAACCCAAAGAGCAGCGGTGGAAAGTAACTAAGTACATTTACTCGAGTAAATGAGAGTTTAGATCTGACTGGTGTAGTTACTGGTAATCGTGTCCCTGCAACAGTAATACGTGTATTTCATTAAATCCCGCCTGTTCTTCTTTACCAAAGGGCCAATAATTGGCAGTATTGATCAGAAATCACACGTCTGCAGGTCGATGAGGTCGTTGATGCTGCAGGTTGAATGTTTCCTGCAGGATTTGGTGAAGCTGACGGACACCCGGAGCTGTTTGAAGCTACTTCTAGACCATAAATGTTGGGTTTATGGCTGATGAGCAGCAGCCGGGTCTCGTGTTTTGTGGCGTCGAGTCATTAGAATAAAGCTGCATGTGAAGGTGGACGTGTCTGGTTTCTGGTCAGAGTCTGACCTGATCACTAGTCGTGTCTGTTAAACGACACCTGACTAGTTGTTGGATTAACTCTGGTCCAGAATCAGTCACCAGCTTTGTTGTATAACTGGATTATAATTTCTGATGCTTTCATGTGTTCGTCCGTTAAACGCTGCAGCTTGTTTCCTTCTGGGATCAGTGACGGTTTAATAATTTATCTGTGGATTATGTTTTTTTAACATTAAACTAAACCTGCAAAGTTATTAAACACAGCAGAAGTACAGCCTGATGCTTCATGTTGTAGTTTAATCTGTGCAGCAGCAGCAGCTTCATTCACTTCAGTCTGATCTTAAAGTTCAGCTCAGATCAATAACTAATGAAGAATAATCCATGTTTAGGACTCAACGGGGTTCTCTGGCAGCAGAAACAGTCGGACTTCGTTTTATTTGCAAAACCACGTGTAAGAAAAAAAAATCCTGATAAGTTTATTTACAACATTCTGAAATCTGTCATTCAGCATAACGAGGACTTTAACTTGAGTTTGATGCTGATACTTTAACACTCGTACCAGTATTTCTACTCTGTGGTATTTTATACTGAAGTACAGGATCAGAGAACTACTGCAGGACTCAGAAACATGCATTTATTTCCAAAGTAGAGCTGCAAAAGTTACCAGGAAACTGCTCATTTGTGATTTTTTTCAGGCAAACCGCTTCTTAAATGTGATCATTTGCTGTTTTTCTGAGAACAAAGCTGCAACTCTCCAGTATTTAAACCTCTGAATAATCATTTAATTTGTGTAAACTCACTTTTAAATGGAGCAAGGCAGAGTTCATAAAGTAGGATAATCAAACTTCTGCCTGTTTGCTGCACATGTTCATGTCAGGTTTAAGATCTGCAGCTTCAGTCTGTAAAATATTTGAAAGTTCAACTTAAGTTTTGTATTAAAACCTGAAAAACTAAATATTTGAAGCTAAATTTTTAACTCATCTTTCATAAAAGCATCAAATCTTCATGTTTTAGAGGCAGAAACCAGAAAATGTTTAAATGACTGTTGCAGCAGTCAGACCATCGGTTCGTTAAATCAACAGGCAGAGACTCAGATCTGTCAAAGGTTTTCCGTCTTTATTAACACCATCAGTTCTGTTCACTTGTCCTCAGGCTTGTTGAAGCAGTAGGTGAGGCAGCACTTCCCGCAGTAGTGACGGTCGAAGTGGCTCGCCATGAACACGCCGGCGCCGCACTCGTCAGCGGGACACTCGCGCCTCAGCCGGTGGATCTTACCGTTCTCGTCCACCTGGAGGAGGGCAGAGAGGAGAGAGTTAAGTCTGGCAGTGAGAACATGAGAACCTGAAGCAGAGGAAGGTTCTAGAGGTGGTTCTTCAGGGGGTTGAAAATTAGTGAAACCAGAAGTTAGAGTAGTTGGAGAAGCTGTTTAGCTCCAAAACAAAGTGTCAAACTGTTCTGAGCTTCTGCTTCTAACTTCAATGTGATTTTTTTTAAACGACTGAAGCAGGAACATCTTCACCGCACTGAACGTAAACGCGACCCGACAGCAGAATAAAGACTCTTCAGAGTGTCTGTACCTTGTAGTACTTGAGCACAGCGAGCTTGACCTTCTTCCTCTTGTGCTTGTTCTTCTTGGGGGTGGTGTAGGACTTCTTCTTCCTTTTCTTGGCGCCACCACGCAGCCTCAGCACCAGATGAAGTGTTGACTCCTGAGAAGGTAAAGAAACAGCGTTAGCAACCTGCCTCAGTGTGTCTGATGTGACTCCTACAGCTTCAAACCGTCCTCTAACACTGAACCTGCAGCAGATTGTCCAGTTAGAACTCTTTAACTCCTTCCTGCCCTCAGCTCACCTTCTGGATGTTGTAGTCGGACAGCGTGCGTCCGTCCTCCAGCTGCTTGCCGGCGAAGATCAACCTCTGCTGATCAGGAGGGATTCCTGCACAAAAAAACAGGCGTCAGCTTAACTTCAGAACAAAGAGCTATGAAGTCATCACATTGAACGTGTTCCTGTAGGAGTCTGGGTTTGGGTTTGACAGCTTCAGGAACAAACTATTTCCTAATCGAGCGATAGTTTTCTCAGTTAATGGTTTTCAGTAATTTCCCAGGCCTCAGATGAATAAGTATTTTTCTATTCTTTGATTCTATTTTGTCTACACATGCAAGAAAGCAGAGAGAAGTCAGTGATGGAAGAAATATTCCGAGTATTTAAGCACACGTAGTTCTGCAGTGTAGAAATACTGAGTGAGTCGTGGTAATGTGTTGATCTCGTGTAAACTCCCACTGAAGCAGCTTTAATCACTAAACACAACTAGTTTCTCTTCATGTCTGTTTAAACCTTAAAAATAGTCAAATAAAGGCAAGAAAATACTTTTGAAAAGCTAGAACTGGACATTCTTCGGGCTAATGGCTGATATCACGACTTAAAGCTGATTTTCTGTGAATTAATTCTGCAGTTCTCACATTCTGAATAGAACTAAATCAGCTGGTTCTGACATGAACACATCCAAGTGGGTTCACTGGCAGAACACAAGCAGCAGCTACAGACCGTCGTTCTTCTAATTCGGGGAACATCACTCTGAATGATTTTAAGTGATCAGATCTGGACCTGAAGGCCAAAGCAGTGCAATCCCTCTGTTTTTATGTTAAGAATAAAAACAAATCAGAACCGGGTTTAAAGACTCTTCAGCCTCTCGGCTTCATCTGTCTGTTGTGGTTTTAGATCTGAAGCTAGTCTCCCTTCACTGACTGCTTCCACACAGAATAAAGGTTTCACTTATTTTAAAGTGAGTTTCAGGCCGTATTCAGGCTTAAATGTAGAATTAAGTTGTTCTGCGATTTAACTTCTATTTCCTTCAATATACTCCTAAACCGGAGGCTGACTACAGTTTAACACTCCTATCCATGTAGTTTGAGTTACATATTCCTGTCTTTTGTACACATATGCCATAAAAACTAAGCCTCCCACCTCCAGCCTTCTTTACAACATTATTAACAGGAATCATGACAGTTTGCTGAACTCACCCTCCTTGTCCTGGATCTTGGCCTTGACATTTTCGATAGTGTCTGAAGGCTCAACCTGGAAACACAACAGTTATTTTTAACAGGTGTACGTCACTTTTATAACTCTAATAAGTGAAGAAATGCTGTTAAATGCACTGCTCTGTGCTACACGTGTTTACGGTGCTGCAGCTAGCTTAGCTTAGCCACTTAGCTTGACTTTTCCGGTCAGACAGAACCACAGACTGGAAACTGCAGCAGTCTGACTATATAGAAGCACCGCTGCAGCTTATTTATGATCAGTAACGTTAGTATATGATTAAATATGTTTCCTAACTTATTAGTAAAGTATGTTAAACTCAGGCGGCTAGCATCGCCGCCTGCGTCCCTCACAGCCCGGCTCACCCACCTCGAGGGTTATGGTTTTCCCCGTGAGGGTTTTGACGAAAATCTGCATCCTGGCGTTCAACCCACCTAAACGGGGAGACACACAAACGTCTTAACTCAGTGTTGGGGCCGAAATGTGCGGATAAAACGGGTTATTTTTGACAATAATCGGCGTAAACTCGGAGCTCCATCTTACCACTAGTGCGCTCCTAATGGCGGATCATGAGAAGAGGGCTTTCGGAGCGAGCGACGGGGTTTTCTGGCCGCGTCTTCAGGGGTTTGGTGTCCGCAGCGGCGCCTGACCACAAATACCGCCGAACTTTAAATATTATGAGTTTGTTTTGACACCTAAATCAGTATTAAAAATGTAAATGTATTTTTACTATAAACAAATTTCAAAAAACAAAATAAAAAATATATATTAAAAAAAATCCGCTCCCAGGTCGCCTTTCGCGGTCACCATAGCAACGCGCCTGTTTGCAAATGGCCTCCCAGCAGAAACTTTACAGTTCGCTTAAAAACTAAAGTAAATAACAATCATGTCTGAGACCCCAAACCGCCGCAGTTCGTCTTCAACACGCGAGGAAAGAGTTCGTTCTCCTGATGTTCTGGTTTCTGGGAGCGACGAGAGGTTCTTCCGGTCTCTGTACGAGTTTATTGAGCACGAGAAGAAATACCTGCAGAGTCCAGAAGAAGGTCCGGACGAGCTGAGATACATCATCTACCGGTCCGTGTTCAATAAGGTAGTAAAGGAAAAGAACATGACAGCATGAGGAGGCCACTGCGGTGCCTGAATGTCATTAGGACCCTTAATAAAGCTGTGAAGGAGTTTATGAGGCAAAATGTGACCATAAAGAGACTCAAAGCAGCTGTAAGGAGGAATAAAATGACTCAAATAGAAAGCTAAGCAAAGGTATTCACTGTAATTAGATTAAAAACTAAGACATACACATCGACTACAAGGAGATAAACTATGAAAAAGTCCAACTAGTGACACAGAGATGTGGAGAAATGACTGCAGAGAGCAAACAGAGCAGCTAGAAGGAGATTTTATTTTTAAAAAAGACACCAAACAACCACAAAGTGACAGATAACAGCTAAAAACGCTGTCAACGAGGAGAAGCACAATAACAACAATCAGAAACACAATGACTAGAAAGAGACCAAACCGACCACAAAGACAAACAAAATGAACATAAAGAGAAACTAACAGCTAGAATGACTACAGGACAAAAAGCCACAAAGGGACAGAAAAAAGTCCACAAAAGTCTAAAACGACAATAAAAAACGTGAGAATGTGAAATAATAATAAACAAAGACGCTCAAAATGACTCTGAATGGAAACAAAACCACTAAAAAGAGACACAGAATGACTAAAGAGAGAAAGAAAATCCTCCTTCACAGATGTTCTGAGACTCCACAGTAAAGTCTTCAGGTTCCACTCAGAGGGAACATAAACAGTGTGACACCATCTCCTGGTAGCTTCATGCTCACTTTGCATCACCTTCTGTCTTTATGCTGATGTTTTGTGTCTCTTTATGGTTGTTTTTTGCTTCTAAATGGTCATTTTGTGTATTTTTTATGTTCATCTTGTTTATTTTGTGGTAATTTTGCATCAGATTCTGTCTCTTTGTGGTCATTTGGTCACTTTCTGATGATGTTTTTGTGTTTTTGCATCTTTTTAGGCCTTTTGAATTATTTTCTCATGACCTTTGGTGCTCACTTTGTCTCTTTCACACTCATTTTGTGCCTCATTGTGGTAGTTTTGTGTCTTTCTGTGGTCATTTTATCACTTTATGTCTCTTTGTGGTCGTTTTTGTGTGTCCAGAGCAGAACTTTGAGGTTCCTTCATGTCTTTCACTTTGTGTGTCTCTTCAGTGTTTCTGTCTCTCTGTACGGTTGTGTTTCCTTCCACATCTTTCCGTGGCCTGTTTTGGTCGTTGTGTGTCTCATCATCGGCTGTTGGCTTTGTTTTGTGGTCAGTGTGTGTCTTTGTTTGCAGCTTTTGTGTCTCTGTGTGTTCATGTTGTCGTGATTCTCTGTGACTCCAGCTTCATTTAGTTTAGGTAAAATCTCTTTGGGATAAATCAAGAAACACTGGTGGTCAATTCAGTATTTTAGAAAATAAAGCTGTTCTATAAATATTCAATGATTTAACATCTGTGGTGCGTCCGTCCTGTTTCTGGCAGGTGATTGGACGAGCCACAGCCTATAAGAGGCTCCTGTTGACCATCAAGGCGGAGTATGACGACTCCATCAGGGAGCTGAAGAGGAGGGAGGAGGAAGTTCAGGCGTGTCAGCGGTCGAAGGCATCCTCCACATCACGACCAGCATCACTGGAGATCTGCAGGAGACGAGCTGCTCAGCTGACGGACCGGTGAGAGTGGGCTCAGTAGAACCAGAACCACCAGGACTAGAAGGACAGAGGCCTCCGAAAGCTCTTAAATCATTTACAATTTAATTTCTTTGATTATTTATTGTGCAAACATTTTTCCAAGTGCCCCCAGATGTTAACAACACTGGAACACATGTGGCTCTACACGCTCCAGATGTTTTATTACTGAGATGTTTGGTTCGTTTCCATACTCGTGTCCTCTCTGCTCTGTGGAAACACCGCCTGCAGTTCAGCTGAAAAGTTCCAGAAGTTTTGTCAGCTCACTGTTGGTAGCAGCCGAGTCACTAGAGGTTCTAAGAGGAACAGAACTTTTAGTTTTTCACAGAATCTGGTTACAACAAACGTATGGAGCAGTGAGAGCGCCAAATTACAAAAATAAATCAATAAAAGAATAAAAAAATAAAAGTGGAAATTAAAAAGAAAGCAAAGGAAATATGTGCAGAAAAATGTGTGCAGTAAAAAAAAAAGTGACTTATAAAAAATAAATAAAATAAAAATAAAAAATAAAAATGAAAAATATTATTAAAAAATGAAAAAATAATACAAAACAAATTTAAAAATAATAATAATTTTTTGAAATAAATAATAAAACTATTTAAAAACAAATTAAAAAATATAATAATAAACAATAATTATTTTTTATTTTATTTATTAGCCTATAGACCCAACAGTGTTACTAACGATGTAGATTAATGTAGTTATTTGACATTATAGCTGAGACCGTTTGAACACTTTGGACCTTGTGCGACCTTAAAGGAGCTGATTGGTCGGAGGCTGGACGTCTCTCACATCAGGACCACACAGTGAAGCTGTCAGAAATCCTCTCCTGACTGCAGCTCTGCATCTTTTTTGCAGAATCTCTGTCCTTCAGAGGGAAACATCAGAACTCAACGAGCAGATTGACGGACTGAAGTCACGTAAAGAGCAGAGCAGCTGGATCCCAGGTACAGCTCATCGCTCAGAGTTTAGATGTTCCTTCACAGTTTGTCTGCTTTCTGGAGGTAAACTAAACATGATGTAGCTGTGTGTTGTTGTAGGATGCTGCAGCGTCTCACTCGTCCACGCAGTGTTGACGTTACACACTGGTACAGATGTGTGTTTCAGTGTTTTCCAGGTTATAGCAGCTGTTATGGTTCTAACACTGAAGTTAATCTCTACCTCTAATCATCCACCTTGTTTTATGACGACAAATGAACCACAAAAAGACACAACATGATGCAGAGCGACCATAAAAAGGCATAAAAACCGCCGCAAAGAGACTGAAAATGACCGCAGAAGGAGACAGAAACATGTTAAAATGGTGCAAAAAAACCCCAAAAAGAAAGAAACCCAAAAGTCCAGAAACATGAACACACTGAAAAGGTTAAAAAATACGACTGTTCCTACATTATTTCTGCACTGACTGTACACTTTGGAGCTGTTGTAACGGTGAACTTTCCCCACTGTGTGATCAATAAAGTTTATCTCCATCTTTATCTTTATCTTTATCTTTATCTTTATCTTTATCTTTATCTTTATCTTTATCTTTGTCTTTAGAAGACACAAAGTTGTGCAAACTGACCACAGACAGACTCAAACCAACCACAGACAGCTGTCGTTGTGCTGAAGCCTCCATGTCGTCCTGCAGGCGTGACGGTGGCCCAGTCGGAGGATCTGGACTCTCTGAACCGACACCTGGAGGAGCTGCAGCGTTACAGAGCTGCTCTGATGGACACCAAGAGTCAGAGCGTCTCTCTGGAGGTCAGAGACAAGATGGACGCCGAGCTGCAGGAGGCTGAGCGCCGCCGAGAGAAACTGAACGCCGAGAACCAAAACCTGAGAGTCCTGTAAGAACAGAAGCACTGGAGCTGCTGCTCTCGTCTCACAGACCGACTGTTCTATCAGAACCACCTGCTCTGGTTTAAAGACTGAAATATGGCAGGAAGGAATATTTTATTACCAACATAAAGGAGTTCTCAGGCGTCTCTTTAGCAGATTAACAGGTTGATGAAAGCAGGACAGAGAGGA